GAATAAAAAGGAAGAAGTGGAGGTCCTACTACAAATCACAGAATTATGAAGTAATTGGAATTAAGGAGATGTGATGGGAAAGGTCATGTGGCTATGGAGCGGTCACAGATGGGTATAGCTTGTTCATGCATGATTAGCATGGGAAAAAGGAGGAGGTGCAGCCTTATATAGAAATGTGATGTACACATGCTTGGAAGTGCACTACAAAGTGAAAGCTTCTGCGTAAAGTTCAGAAGAGGAGGTGGATGAGGCCTTCTTTAAATGAGTGATGGAAACTTCCAAGTCAGTTCTCATGGGGGACTTTAATTCTTGGGTCATCTACTGGGATGCAAACCCAGCAGTGCACCAGCAGGCTAGTAAGTTCCTGGAGTGTGTCAGGGATAACATTTTGATTCAGATGGTAGAGAGGACAATGGGGAAGGGTGGGTAGCTCTTTTCTACTTACTGCCCACAAAGAGGGAGGAACTGGTTGAGAAGGGGAAGGTGGAATGGTACCAGGGTAACAGTGAGCATGAGATGACAAGAGTTCAAGATCCTAAAGGGAGAAAGGAAGGAGCACAGCAGAATAAGGAAACTGAACTTCAGAAAAAACAGATTTTAACCAATTCAGGGACCCGGTGGGCAGGATCCCTGGGAAGCAAGTCTGAGAAGAAAAGATGTCTAGGACAGCTGGCTGTACTTTAAGAAGGCCTTTTTAAGGGTGCAGGAACAAGCTATCCTGATGAGGAAAAAGAATGGAAAGTGCAGTAGGATAGGGGTGTGCAAAGCTTTGGTTGCTGATTTGATTCAGGGAAGATTCGTCCGGATTTGAAGGCCGAATCACCAAATCTGAATTGAATCAGGAGAAAAAAAAACCCAACAACCTCTGAATCAATTTGCAGCCTCTGCATAGATTGAGAAAAAATTAGTAGATTCGGAAGGCAGTCTTTCAGGGGAACAGAAACTGAGAAGAGGGAGGGGGAGAACGGGGGAAAGACTGACATCTGTAGCTGGCCAGTGACTGTGATCTTTCCCCGAGTCCCCTTCCAATTACAGTGCTCTGAGGGAGGGAGATAGAAACAGCATATAATCCTCTGTCTGCAGCCTTTCTGTGCCTTTTGTGAGCTATTTCTGCTTGAGCAACGGCATCTGAAAGGTACTGGACTGGCTTGGCTTCCTACCTAGTCAGTCTTCTGCTAGTTTCGGTTCTTGGAAAGGATTGGACACAGCTTACTAACTAGAACCCCTCTACTTAGCCCTATCCAATCCATTTCTTTCAACTTATTCTTCACACAAACCCCTTATTTCTTCTTGTTTCCGCCCCCCACCCACACACACTTTTTAAAAAGAAAGCTGTGTTTTTCCTGGCAGTGTGATCCATCACTGTACAGGAAAGCACATACATCTCTCTCACACACACACAGGGAGGAAGAAGAGATATTATATCATTACACATACATTATATAATTACTATATTATATAGTTACATATACATATAGTTACTCCAAAGCCCCTGTCCCCCCAAAGCAGAGGCAAGCCACCCTGAAGTAGTGGGGGAAAGCCGCAGACGAAGTGGGGTGCATTCTGAAGCCAAGCAAGGTCAGTCAGAGCATTGGAGAAATGCTTGCTCTGGATAGCCAGCCCTTCTCCCTAGCTGAGTGGCCAGGATTCAGGGGGCTCATGGCACTTGTGGCCTCATCCTATCAAGTAACTGTATGCACCACCTTTAGCAGGATGGTGGTGCTCTCCCCGTAGGAGGCATGCAGGGAGTACTTGAGGAAGGTAGCCTGTGCAGGTAGCCTTGCACTTCACCTCGGACACCTGGAGCAGCTGGGGTGGAGATCACACCTACCGCTCCCTCACAGGGTGCTGGTGTGATCAGTCAGGCCATCGGTGGGCTCTCCTTCAACACGAGGTGATGGATGAGTCCCACACAGCAAGGGAGATCATCGTGACGATAACCGCATGGTGCAGGGGTGGCTTGTTGGGCAAGGTGAGCTCAACTGTGGGTTCATGGTCACCGACAGTGGGGCCAATATGGAGTAATGGTCACAGTCTGGAAACCCTAGTTGTGAAGTAGTTTTTCCTAATGTTGAGCCTGAAATGAGTCTGAAACAATTTTCCAGGAGTTTGTGCCCATTACTCCTAGTTTTCCCCAAGGTGCCCTGGTGAACATTTGTTCACCGAGCCCTAGATGTACGCTTCTGATGTAGCGGTAAGCTGCAACCCAGTCCCCTCTCAGCCTTCTCTTTCAGGCTGAAGAGTCCCAGGTCGCTCAGCCTTTCCTCATATGGCTTGCTGTGCAAGTCTCCGATCAAAATGTGTATATTGAATCCATAAATCCACTTTTATGTGCACTGCTACATCCCCCTTCCCTCCCCTGAGCCCCAGCCTATCCCTCACCCCCCGACGCCTCCATTTTCATTTTCACTGACTGGCTTTCTTGCCTGCACTGCATGCCAGGCCAGCCTCTGGCTTCTTTGCTATTCCTTCCATCCAGGAACAGCACACATGCCAACTTCAGGTGCTTCCTCAGCCTGACAAAGGGTTTTTCAACCCCAAGCTTGTTAAGATATATTGTTCTAACTATTCAGTTGGTCTACTAAAAGACACCAGATTGACCCAAAGAACTTCGTCTGCCATTGCTATGTCCTTAGACCAACACCCCTAGCAGCTGACCAGAAGGTTGCAGGGCACTGGGCACATCTAAGCCCCAAGGCTGGCGCTGGCAGGGACATTTCTCTGGCAGCTGCTGGACAAGAAGCTCTGGCAGGAAAGGAAAGAAAGTTCTGTGACAGTTTGGCTCCTGAGATGCTAGTGTTACTGCGGTGCTTCCTTGTTGTTATTTAAAGTGGTGGACTGGGCTGAGGCTGTAGGGGAGGAAGAGACCTCATTGGGGAACACTACTGTGTCATGTAGAGGCCCCAGCACCAGTGAGGGTGCACCTTACACACACACACACACACACACACACACACACACACACGAGTCAACAAGTTGTGCTTGTCAGCAGCCTGAGGGCAGTTTCCCAGAAACTTTTGCATCTATCTCCTTGAAACTTGGCAGGCCTCCTGCCCTCAGAAGGGGCAACCATCTGCAATTTTTATCTGAATCAGCTAGAAAATGATAAAGTTATAGGAGGTATTTCAGCGATTCCCCATTACAGTCTATAGCCAAATCTCTAAATCTCCACGAAACAGCACTGAATCTTCCAGAGCTGATTCGGCTGAAATAATTCAGGACAGTAAGCCGAATCCCTGAATCGAATCACTGTCCTCTGAATTGGCCAAATTCAAATCCAAATCAAATACTTCCCTATTTGCACAGGCCTACAATAGGAGACCAGCCTGGCTAGACAGCACTCTCTTCGAGGATGTGAAACTCGAAAAGGAATTCTATGAAATATGGAAACCTGGTCATGGTACTAGGGAATAGTATTGCATGGGCATGCAGAGAGGAAATTTGGATGGCCAGGGCACAATGAGATGCAGCCAGCAAGGGGCATAGCAGGCAATAAAAAGGGATTCTATAGGTATGTGAAAAGTAAGAGCTTCCATAGGTTCCTTACACAATGTGGAAAGCAATCTAGTCAGACTTGATGCAGAAAATTATTTAATGGCTTTTTACTTCAGCTTTCACAAATAGAAGCAGCTACCAGTTAATGAGTACAATTGAGAGCAGAGATAGAACAACAGGAAGAGATGAACAACCTAGAGTAATGGCAAACCGAGTTAGGGATTACTTAGAGAAATTAGATGCTTTCAGGTCAGCAGGGCTGGAAGAATTGTACTTGAGTGCACTAAACGAATTGGCCGAGGTAATATTGGAGCCATTGGCTTTCCTTTTACAGAACCCATGGAGGTCTGGCAAGGTTCTGGATGACTGAAAAGGGACAAATATAGTGTCCATTTTTGAGAAGGGGAACAAGGAGTTTAGACAGATACTTGTCTGAGATGGATTAGATGACCTTGTAAGGTCCCTTCAACCCCTACTTTACTAGTATCCTGTATCATGGTGTTGGATGCCAGCATAACATGCTAAGATAGCTGAATTACATACATAGATAGAAGGGGTATAATGGGAACCGTGATGTATGGCTACTATTTTTTGCAATTTGTTATTATTTGTATTGAGAAATCACAAGCATCTACCCTCCCACTAAGTGCTATTTGGAGTCAGAATTGGAAGACACTTTTGCTCTCAACAACTTCCCATCAGAGTTCAAGATAAGAAGTGGAGAAGACAGGCAGGTGAATGTCCAGATAAAAAACATGAGACAATTGTCTGATCTCATCCTAGGAAAATGGCATCTATGCCAGCATCACATGGACTAACTCGGATTTTCAAATGTGAAATTAAGCATGATTTTTCATAGGATTTCAAAGGCTGGAGAGGACCATTATAATTGTCCCGTGTAGCATAGCATGGGCTAGAGAATTCCACACCCTGTTATTCTAGCATTCATCTCAGTAACTTGCGATTGTTTCTATTATCTTTATTTTTCTATCTTGAGGACCAGTCTCTACTAGGGGGAAAAAAAAAGCACATATTTAAATGTAAGATAGCCTACATACTAAGGTTATGTCTTCTCTGCAGTATAGTGTAGGCACCCCTGAGCTGGCTCAGGATTCAATAGTAATATAGTCCCAGCCAGAAATGACCATAGCTTTGAATTCTACCTGACATAGCCCAGTTGACTTCATCAGCTCTTTTAGGGAGGCACCCACTGACAGCCTAAACCTCCAGGCTGAAAACTTTTCAGCAAAATATCCCAAGTACTTGTAAAGGCACGGAGGATTGCCATTTAATTTTTTGGCCGATGCTACAACTATACCATGCCTCTGCCTAAACCAGAGAGTCTGTGCGAGCTTGATCTCTCAATCTGCTGCTTATAAAAAGAGGCGGCACACTTCTGCTTCCTCTTTAGAGTCAACGATCGTGTATGAGAATCTGCATCCCTGGGCAGCGATCATTTCGCCAGCCCTCTCTCCCACGAGTACTCTCTCCAGCAAAAACAAACCATGATCGTTTGGCTAAATATAATTTTCTTGATAAAAACGCTCACTGGTAATTTAAATTATACTCCAAGACAATAGCTAAACCAGATTACTATGGATAGATTGGTATGATTCTTAGCTGTTATTTTCTCCTTCAAGGTGTCCAGTCAAAGGTTGAATTTTTAGAGTCTGGAGAGGATCTGAAAAAGCCTGGAGACTCTCTACGCCTTTCCTGCAAAACTTCCGGGTTTACTTTCAGCAATCACTGGATGAGCTGGTATCGACGGGCTCCTAGCAAGGGACTGGAGTGGGTTTCCAGTATAGAGAAATTGCCTGGGAGCACCAAGAATTATGCCAATTCAGTACAAGGCCGATTCACCATCTCCAGGGATGACTCCAAGAACATGTTGTATCTGGAGATGAAGAACCTCAGACCTGAAGACACCGCTGTGTACTACTGTAGGGCTGCACAGTGCACAAAAGTGAACCCTAGTGCTGACATAAACCTTTTACTTGTGGTGCGAGGTGAAGCTTAGGTATTTCGGCTCTTTGATAGGTACTTTGAGGCCAGATCTTTCAAAGGTTTTTGGGTGCTTAAGATGCAGAGAAACACTTTGTAAACACATCACTGCCTTAAATGCCTAAGTCCCATCGACTTTCAGAGGGAAAAATAGAAGGGACTGAAATGGAAAAGCATCTTTGCAGAGCATTAGCTGAGATGCATTTATGGTGGTCAGACAGGTGTGAAGCAATGGAAGAAGTGTCATCTCCAGCTCTTCTGGTCAAGTTTAGACCACATATGCAGAATCATTGCTACAGAAGTATCTTATCTGCATACAGCCTTTTTCTTTTCAATCTGCACAGCTGCACAAAACTAGCTATACCCTTCTGCTATCTGTTACATTATACCAGTTAAAAACAGTGGCATAAGTGCTTTCAAGTTTCAGGTGCATTGTGCTAGGATCTTAAAAGCTTTAAAACTTCAGTCCTAGGCAATTTGCAAAAAGACAGAAGAGGCTCCTTGCTTCACAAAGCTCAGTATAAAAATAGACAAGTGAAATGAATAGGCAGTGGCTAGAGGGAAAAGTCCATACAGACAGAGTTAACTGGCACTCTACAGATATATATATCAGCACTATCACCACTTTGTTGACCTCACACTTTCCCTGTACATTAAATTCATCTTTGTATGCAAAAAGTTGGAGATGCCTTAATGTTGCTGACATGGGAGTTCTGGTGTTACTTTGTGAAGGAAACAACTGGTGCATTGCAAGTTCCCTTTTTCTTGTCTACATTGTGACGAATGGTGAAACTGCAACTCGTGTAGATGCACCCTGTTCACACCGATCTAGATGTCTTGTGTATTGGTGGACCTGATGCAGTATGGAGCTTAGGATGGGCTCATCATTCATCACACAAATATTGATCTAGCCCAGGGGTGGGCAATTATTTTGGGCGGAGGGCCGCTTAATGAGGTTTGGTAAGCTATTGAGGGCCACATGGATAGCCCCATCACTTGACAGGTGCCCTACCAGCTAACTCCTGACCTTTGCCACCAGAAGTCCCTCCTCTTGCCCTCCTTCACACCCAAATACTCCTTTGGGGGAGGGGGGGGGGGAGGGCTGCCATCTTAGAACCAGAAAAAAACAAAATCATCACACAGTAAAAGTCAAACACCTACTATAACATATTTTAATTTTATTGCAAAAAATGTTTTTGTCATGATTTTTGTTTGCACACTGCATATAGACATGACTGCATAATAACTCAACAATAATTTTTCAGATTTTTATATTGTGTGTGGGGGGGGTGTGCATGTGGCATAGGGTATGTTGGGAAGTTGTGTGGCATTTGTGGGATGTGGGTGTGTAAAGCTGTCCTCTCCTGCAGTCAACGCAGGCAACACTGCACAGAGAAAGAGAGAGAGAGTGTGTGTGTGTGTATGTGTGTGTGGGGGGGGTGGTGAGGGAGGGGTTGGGGCCCCCCCCCCTCCCCGCCACATTCCCCCCATGGTGCAGCGGGGGCAGGAGCTCTCCGGGCGCTGGTGCCTGGCTCCGGCCAGCTCTGCACATCACAGCAAGGAGCGCAGTCCCTGCCAGGCAGTCTCTATGGCCTGTGCTCCACAGCATGCAAGGGCAGTCCCAGGCACTGGAGCCAGCTGCCTTCTTTGCCCCATCCAGCTCCAGTGCCTGGGGCTTCCCTCCAGTGCCTCCTGTACTGAGCAAGTGTAGGGAGTGCTGGCCAAACAGACATCCTGGTGGAGGCTGTGCTCCTCTCTGCGATGTGCAGTGCTGGCTGGAGCCAGGCAGAGCTGAGCACGAATGCCCACCCTGCTGCTGCTGCCGCCCCATTGCCCGCTGAGGCTGTGCGCCATGGGGGAAGTGGAAAGAGTCCTCGTACCACCCCCACACACCCACACCCTGCCCAGCTGAGCTCCATGCTGCTGCCACCCCCCTGGGTGCGGGTTCAGCATGCTGCCAGCTCCAACCCCATGCTCCACGCTCCCACCCAGCTGCAGCCCTGCCCCACCCCTGCTTCCTTACTTGCTGCCTGGAGGGAACGGGACATAGGGGAAGCCTGCAGCAGCATCCCTGCCCATGCTAGTGCAGCCCGAGGCATAATAGGGTATGTCAGGGGTGGATGTAGGCACCTCACTCCCACCCTTGGGGGTGGAAGGGCTGAGTGGGGCACAATTGCTTGGTGGGCCGCATTTTGCCCAAACCTGGTCTAGGCCTTGGGGTCAGTTTTACAGCTCATATTGAACTCCAGGGTATCAAAAACAACACAGCTTCCAAATTAACTAGCATATATTCTGCTAGCAAACTCAGGTAGGCCTATGTAACACTGGAGTTACACCTTGACTGTACTTTAGACATTGTATGGAGAAAGAATTTCCATCTTAGAACAAATTTTTTTCCTTGTGGAAACCTATTAATAATGCAAAATCTTTTTTATTATGAAAATCTCCATCGAAGACTATAGTTACCATTTCAGTGCAAAATATGCTGTGCTCCTAGACACTGAGGAGCAGGGATCCTGGTTTTCTCCGACTAAAAAAAAAAAATCCCAAGGTTTCCTTTAAAAAAAAAAAAAAAAAAAAAAAAAATGTAACCCCAAATCTACATTTTTCCATGATTAAAATGCAACACCACTAATATATTAGTGGCATTTCATCTTAATCATGGAAAAATGTGGATTGGGGTTTATGTTTTTAAACCAAATATTGGGGAGATTTTTGAATCAGAGAAAACCAGGATCCCTGCTGAGGAGGCATTTCTGAAATGAGAAGAAAATAAAAAGCAACCGTTTCAAAATCATGGTCTGGCCAAGTTCCGGTGAAGTATTTTTCAGATGACATCAGGCTGGTGGAGAGTAGTAGATATACTGGAAGATAGGGCTAGGATTCAGAGAGACCTTGACAAATTAGAGGACTGGACCCAAAAGAAACCTCATGAGGTTGAATAAGGAAAAGTGCAAAGTCCTTCACTTAGGATGGACCAATGCCATGCACTGGTACAGCGGCTAAGCGGGTTTTCAGAAGAGGACCTGGGGTGGGGGTCACAGTGGACAATAAGCTGAACAGAAGCCAATAATGTGCCCTTCTTTTCAAGAAGGCTAACAGCTACTGGGCTGCATTGATAGGAAGGTTGCCAGCAGATCGAGGGAAGCAATTCTTCCCCTCCGTTTGGCACTGATGAGGCCACATCTGAAGTCCTGTGTCCAGTTTTGGGCCCCTTACTACAGAAAAGATGTAGACAAATTGCAAAGACTCCGCCAGATGGCAACAAAAATGGTTTGGGGGCTGGGGCACATGACTTGTGAGGAGAGGCTGAGGAAACTGGGCTTATTTAGTCCAAAGAAGAACACACTGAGAGGGGATTTAATAGAAGCCTTCAAGTACCTGAAGGGCATTTACAAAGAGGATGGAGCTCAACCAGGGTTGGGCAATTATTTCGGGTGGAGGGATGCTTACTGAGTTTTGGCAAGCCATCAAGGGCTGCATGACAGGCTGCCAGGGGCAGATAAATATTAATTTTCAAAAATGTTTAGCGGCTCTGCAGGCCAGATGGAATGGCCTGGAGGGCCACATCCGGCCCACGGGCTGCATTTTGCCCACCCCTGAGCTAGACTGCTGTCAATGGTGCAGGTGACAGAACAAGGAGCAATGGTTTCAAGTTGCAGCAGAAGTTGAGGTTAGATATGAAGAAAAACTCTCTCACTAGGAGGGTAGTAAAACACTGGAACAGGCTACCCAGAGAGGTTGTGGACTCTCCATCTGTGGCAGGGCATCTTTGGGCTGGGGCTGGGATCTAGTTGGGGCTGGTCCTGCTTTGAGCAGGAGGTTGGACTAGATGTGACCTCCTGAGGTCCCTTCCAACTGTCATGGTTAAGGCTTCTACGATTTCCCCCAAAAATGCAGCTGCTCTGAGCAACCACCGTCTGAGACACTGTGCCAGATCCCTTCTAAGCCACAAGCAGAATTTATGTAAGGCTATTTTTCATGGTGTTTGGGGCATACACCCACGATGATGCAAACACTGTGAAGACCTTTGCAAAATCTATCAAGATATGTCCTCCTGCTGCCTTGGGCCTTGCCAAGGTGAAGCCCATTTCTCTTTATGAACTTGACTGATTTCTCATGAAGACCATTCAGAGATGCATCCTCAGTTAGGTTCTTTCCGGTCAATGGCAGCATGAGGATTTCCCCATGAACACATATCACCAAGCAGAGGTATAAATCTTTATAGGGCTGGAGTCTTAATGGGGGTCACAGCCAAGACTGAAATAACCAGAATCACACCTCTGAGATATGTATTTGTAATTCAACTTAACTACAGATCACCTTCCAAAAAGCAAAAGTTCTCCAATCTATCGAAAGTGTGGTCTGAAATCGAAGATGTGTAATAAAAACCAAGCCCAGAACAAAATAACTAAGTCCTTGAAGCTGTTTCCATGCTTTTTCAAGAGGTTTGTGTACAGCTCTGTGGCACTGTGTACTCAGAAATTACCTTCAGAGGAACCAAACTTGATCTGATACCAAGTAAGTGACTGATTTTTAAAGCTTTGGAAAGGGCATTTTTATAAACTTTGAATCTATGAAAAAGTCATGGAAGATTTTTTGAAGGCACCTAGGAGGAGATGGTCAAAGTATGTCTGTGTAGTGTCAGGAGTGATACTTTCTGCTCGAGTAGTGGTTGTAGCAGTTTGTTGTAATATATTATTTAGCTATACATACAAAAGATGATTCTTAGGACTTGGGATCATAAAATATCAACCCCTATCTTACCTCTGCCCAGGGCAGGGGGTCAGACTCAATGATCTGCTGAGGCCACTTCTGACTCAAACATCTATGAATCTCTGGTGTCTGTTTGACACACCAGCTTTTCAGCAAAAATTGCAATTTTATGGGAAGTATTACTAAAAATTAATTTTGTTCTAGTTCGCAGTGTTAATGCATTTCCCACTTCTCTCTAGAAAAACCTTGTTTCAATATTGAAAGATTTCAAAATCCATAGCAATACCATTACAAACGTAA